TCCCTAGTATGCTGAACTGGGAAATAACTTCACACCTCCTAACTGGAGTTACTCATTGCTGTTAAAAAAAGCCCCATCATTGCCAAGTGTTATTAGCTCCAAGAAATACAATGCTCTGGCCTCTCAGTAAGGTGCAGTAAGTGAGATAAGAAGTAGCATGAAGGCACTTGGTACCAGCTAAGTTTTGTACAGTAGTTTCACTTTAGAATAAAGGATGCGATAATAGAAACAGGCTGATAACTTAAAACACACTGTAAATTTGGCAAGGAAACTTAGTTAAGACAAACTAGTGTTATAGGACTACCTGTAAGTGTGCAAAAGCATGGAGAAAATTCACTTATCTTGATGCTATAAGCTAAATCCAGACACAGTCAGGTGCTGAGCATTATTCCTAGCTTCAAAGTAGGAGGTATCAGTTTCATCATCTGGCTGAGGTATAAATGGCATTGTTTGATTCTGTAGATTATCCCAGTCCACACCATGAAAGAGGGCGTGATGTTTCAGTTCTGAAACAGAAGTTCATATAAGCATTATAAACTTCCTTTTGTCCAAGCCCCATCATCACTTTGTTCACTTGATGCATAGCTGTCAGTAGACTTGCTCTATTTTGCTGTTTTGGAAATTCACAGAAGTGCAAGTTGAAATTGGGTTTTGATTACCCCCAACCTCAGTGGGATCAAACTGTTGTCATGCCAACTAGCCATCATCCCCAAGCTGGGGAACCTATTCTAGACAGCACACATAGCGGATCAGAGGTGCCCTAGGGACATTGCTCATGATACAGCACCACAGACATTTTACACATCACTTCAAAGTTGGTTTTTAATTTTGACAAAGTTCTGTCCTGAGTAGACATGTGGGGGTCACTCCCACCCTTCTCCACTCCAGGCCACCTGCTGTTTGCTAGCTCATGGAGCAGTCCTCCTCTGCTTTGTACAGTCCCCTTCAGCCTGCCACCAGACGCAGAAGTCTGAACACCCTTACGGTGAAGTTACCACAGATCACCAGATTCCTCCTTCACAGCCTGAAGCTGGGATAGCTAACCAAGCTGCAAGACTTAGACACAAGGAGAACTCCCCCGCCCTGTCCATTCTGACCAGAAGGCAACTTCCTGGCATGCAGGGTCTGATGTGCCTTTTGCATTTCCTGGAAACACCACTCCCTGATGAAAGTGACTTTGCTACTTTGACTTAATCCAAGAAGGCACCTTTTCAGCCAAGTAGGATACAAACCCATGTTTTTATCACCTGCACCACAAAAATCAAAAGCAAATAGAAAAAATAATAGGACAGGTAACAAAAATTTACATTTAGAAGGAGGTGGAAGTTTGACGAAGACAAACAGCCACTACAAATTTTAATTCTAAGCACATACCACACGCTTTTAGCTGATAGACAGTAAGACATTAACATTTGCATATTATTTGATCAGGAAATGTAGAAATAATAAAACACAATATTAGAGTTTATTTTAGACAAAAGGCAATAAGTCAGAGGGTTAGTCTTCTAACTCTAATAGCTTCAGCAACCATACATGCAGCAGGACACTGCACAGACCCACTGTCTCAGAATGGTATGTAGTTCTGCTCTTAAGTTCTCACGTACTGAAAGCTGTCTTCAGCTGAAAAGGTGAGCAGACTTCATGTCGTCTTCAAAGAAGTATTAATGTGTACCATAGCTGGCAGTCAGCTCCTGCCCATGACTTTGAAAGGGGAGGGGGGGCACAGAACCCAAACCCAAACTTTGGATACCAGTGTTCTCTGCCAAATACTGCTTTAAATCTCCTCTTATCTAGAAAGGCTGAACTCACAGGGGCACAGCACTGGACATGACTGGGATTTCTCAGCAAGTTAGGCTTCACAGTGGAGAAACAGAGAGAGGGAGAGCATGCATATTGGGGAGGGGGGAGAAGATGGCAGTGATGGAAACTCAGTTACAATAAAGAAGACTTATAGAATCATTTAGGTTGGAAAAGACCTTTAAGATCATCCAGTCCAACCATTAACCTACACTACCAAGTCTACTCTAAGCCAATCAAGGGTAGACTGGACTAAACCATGTCCCAGAGTGCCACATCTACCCGTTTTTTGAACACTTCCAGGGATGGGGACTCCACCACCTCTCTGGGCAGCCTGTTCCAATTCTTGACCACCCTTTCCGTAAAGAAATTTTTCCTAATTTCCAACCTAAACCTCCCCTGGCGCAGCTTAAGCCCATTTCCTCTCGTCCTACTTAATGGTTGTCCTGAAAGCTACTCATCCATCTTCACTTCAGTGGCCTATAAATTGGATAAAGAGATCAGATACAGTTAAAGATCCTGACAAAGAATGAATTTCCAGGAATTCCAGATTGGAAGAAACCATTATGTCATCTAGTTTAAATTTCTATGCATGACAGGCAACTAGATTTCATCAGTAATAAAGACAATAACTTGTCTTAATTAGAAGGTGTTTTAGTTAAACACATTAGATGCTTCTTGGGAGGCATTAGAGAGCCACAGAATTCCCCATTGACATCATGATCTTAATTTATAACTGTGTGCCTTCTCTAATTTGAATTGGCCTGGTTTCAGCTTCTAGCCTTTAGTCCCTTTTGAGTAAGCATTTCTATAATAATTTTTCTTCTCTAGTGATTTTTTGGGCAGTTTTCTCATAAGATTTCTTCTTCTTTCCAAAACATCTCACTCTAGGCTTTCTTAATGCTATCAGTTTTTTCTATAAAATATGGTCACTGTTACAACAGCAAATGTTTAAAGTCCTTCTACAAGGGAAAAAATTATATAGACTTTGTATAGTATATATTGCTTAACTCAGTATTCCCCTATACATTCAGTAAAGGCAGGCTGATTCCGAAGAAAAAGCTGCTTTGAATTAACTTTTGTAGGGGGCTTCCCTCCCAAACTATAGGCTTTTAATCAAGCTTCCTGAAATCAGTTAGGTCAAAAACCCCAAATTACCTGTAACCGAGTTTGATAAGAGTGAACTTTGGTACATCAGATGTCAAACACTGACCACCCATAGCAAAGCAGCATTAAAGCAAAACAAAAGTTTAATAAAAAACCAGCACACTCCTCCAAAAGATGTCCTCATTCAAAAGGGCAAAAATCCCACAGGAAATACCAAAACAACACAACTTGTTAAGTGTTCTAGCACTATACATGGAACCTAAATAGGCATTAAGGTTTATTAGTCTACATTTCAGGAGGAAGACATCACCACTTTGAAATTTTTAATTAGTTGCAAAGAACACAAGAGAATTTTAATACTAACCCTTCAGCCCAGCTCTCTTGGTACTGTCAATTGTCAGAAGAATATCTATTGCATTTTGGGCGTTATCAGACAGCTTTTCTTCACCCTCAGGCCAGGGAACATCTACAGACAAAAGATGCAGCTGTGTCAGTAACTCAAACCATAAAACAAATGTTAGAAATACATACTTTCCCCAATTACCGAAACGGATTACCTCTTTTCAAAATATTTTGGAAGACTTGTGTTGGTGTTTCATCATTAAAAGGTGGAATTCCAGTTAGAAATTCAAACAGACAAACTCCAAGGGCCCACCAGTCTACAGCAGAACCTGGTAAGAGAAATCCAGGTCATTACACTAACACATAGGTTTAATGATATTTGCAAAGGATTTGAAGATCAGCCATGGCAGAAATTTAAGAGTGTTAAATCCTGCAAAGTTTCTTGGAAACAAGGAAGAGACAAAAGAAGTTGTACTTAATAATCATGCAGAATGGCTTTTTAAAGCCAGTCTGCTCCTTAATTTGTTATAGATGATACCAGGGTTTACTGATAAAAGCAAGGGGGCTCTTAAGAACAACCTAATTATCAACTCCCATCACAGAGAATTCCAGGACCTGACTTCTCCAAGATTGTTTTGTGATAAGAAAGAATTGTCTTTAAGAACTGCTCTAGAGCCTGGATGAATGCTCCATGTTGTAACACATATCTTTCTCTGTTCTTTGAGACAACTCCAAGAATTCAAACTATTGAACTTAATTTTAATTTGTCTAAGTTTATATCAAAATATTGAAGACAGCTTGCAGAATAAGCCAGCACACAAGAAGCTGGAATTACTTTCCATTACACTAAAGCTGATTAGAGCAATGCATAGTTACCAGCTATCTCCCCTTTGTTATTTTGGTTTTCCACATTCCAGGGTTTTTCTGGGTTTTTTTTTTTTTTTTAAACCAAACCCATCTTATTAAACTACTTAAAAACAAGCAGGCAAAGCAATCCCAGACACCCCTGCATGCATTCTAAGCTTCCTGCATCTTTAAGCCATGCTCACTCCACTGTATAAAGAACAGATACCACACTTGGTGCAAAAAGATCTTTGCAAGAAAGTGAGTGTAGTTTTTCTTGGCATATAAAAAAATTAAGACACCTCCAAGCTAAGAAAACAAATGTTTTGAGCCATTTCAAAACCACTATTGATTAAGTTTAGAAATGCTGAAAACTGAAACTTTTAACTAGTAATCTAATGCAATTTAGCAACTTTTAACAGCAGTAAGAGTGCCCCACAGAGCTAAGCACAAAGCAGTGAGAACACATCCACTGTTGTTAGAGGTACTTGGATGTTCAGATAAAATATTCCCAGCTTCAGTCAAAGTCTAACAAGATCACAACTCTGAACAACGTAGTAACACAGGTTTCGGCACCAATTTTTCTCCACTCAAAGTTTAACTAAAGATTAGATTAACTCCTACCATATCCCTACTAAATCACATCTATCAGTATTTGAAGCAAGAAACTGAAATACCAGGTCTTGAGCCTCTGAGCCTTCTTCACCCATACACAGAGTAACTCAGACTGATGGCATAGTGGAAGGAAGCAATGAGAAAAAGTGCCTCTGGTTTATTTCCTGTTACACAATATCTTCAAGAATGCTGACTTTACTCCTGAAGTACAGGCTTAAACGTGATTTCTGATAGCCTAGTCACAGTGATACTGCTGTTTCCTGAACCTTCTGTAGAAGTAGCACACGTTCTTACGTGGAGTGCATATTGGACATATCTTTCTATATAGAAAAATTGTTCATCCAAACAATTTTCTTGGAAATTGTGATCTAGTTATACTTTGACTGTTCAGTTATGGCTGAACACTCCATTTCTGCACAGTATATAGCAAACTCACCAGAGATCAGAGTCCCTGCATATGAAAAGACAACGAAGCAAGAACATTACAATTATTGTAAAAAAAATAACCCTAACAAATACAAACATCAAGTATGAATCTCTGAAGGCACAGGAATACAATTTTTTTTCTTAAGGTAGTAACTCAACAATAAAGATGGCAATGTTAAATCTAAGCTAGAAACAGAAATAAAGTAGTTTTGTAACATGATTCTAGTTTAGGATTACAACTACATTTGCAAGCAAATTAACAACACCAGAAATACTTAATGAGGGAAAGTTTTGAGTTTCAAAGCCAGAAAACCCTGGCCTCACTGAAGGTAATGGGAGACTTGTCATTTTCTGACATAAAACCCAGACTCTTTGCAAGTTATCACTGAAGTCCTGAAAACACTCAATAATTGCATGCAAGTCACCTTGCAACCAAGTTTCACATTGTCCAAGTAGCATTGATTACATTTCCAAACTATTATCCTGTTTTAATGCTTGCCAAATAACAAGGATTTGTAAATGGAAGTGCAAAACAACAACTACATATGTTTAGTAATTTTAGTTGTTACAGTTAAATTGTTAAGTCTCTTCATGCAGTTTTAGTTAATGTATATTGGCTGCATACAGCAGAATTCTGCTGTTCCACAGATTACTAATCAGTATTTCTCAATGAAGATCTCATATCCCTCATAGTTTTCCTAAGACTACTAGCTCTACAAAATAAAAGTATACTTTTGAGATGGAAATAAAGTGTAATAAATACAACAAATGTATCAGGTATACATTGCATTTATTTTTGTTAATGGTTCTTGCAAGTTAGCAGGAGAATATTTCAGACTTTTTGTTGATCTCGGTGGAGCTTGGAATTTGAGCCAAAGAAATATATGCACTTCAAAGTTGTGCTATTTTATTTTCTTACAGTATTTTGCAAAAAAATAGTTGATGGCTACTACTGTCCACCTATATGGAAGATCCTGCCAGAAATCATAAGTGTTTCATGAGGTCACTCAACTCAGTAACTTATTTTAATGGAACTTTACAAACTTGTCTGGACACACATAACACTAATATCTATAAACATGGAATACATTCGAAGAATAATTGGAGGCTTAATCCTTTCATATTAAACTTCACTAAGTTCCTCCTCCCCACCCCAAAGAATCTTTAAGGACACTCAGGATGACCAAGTTGTGATTCCTAAGCCACATATGAGTCTCAGGCTACCTAAGTACACCTTCCAAACCGTTAGATTAGCAGCAGGCAAGACTGGTTGGACAGCAAGGCTGGACAGTCAAACCCTCCAGATATGTGAAAAAAAAAAAAAAAAAATGGAAAGAGAAGCGGAAGCACACACAGCCATGCATGTTGGCAAAAGCTAAGCACTAGGTATTTGTAAAGAATTCACTGTTGCATTGCTTCAAGGATTTAGAGCTCTAGAGACATGTAGAAATGTAGATATGTCACCTTTCAAGTATTTAAAACTCCATGGTTTGTTTGTCTTACCATGAGGCTTTGTCAAAAGCAGCTCAGGTGCCAGGTAGTCTGGGGTCCCTAGGATGCGTTCACCTTCTACTGGGGCAGTTCCTCTTCTTACACTCTTTGGAGTCCTGTATGGTGTGCCAGCATCTCCCTGATGAGGTGTCTTAAAAGGTGCAACAAAGATTTCAGATGTCAAACAAAAACAGCTGAGAAACTCCCATCTCCAGGTTTACTAACAGGAACAAAAGTTGATACTTAAGTTCAAGTCAAGAACATGACACAAAATGTACATTCCCTGAAAAATGTATGTGTGAAATGTGCTTTATTGTTTAACCTCTACCCTATGGATTGCACAATGCCTGCAGGTGAAGTTCTGTTCAGGTTAGACTTAGTGACTGTTTACAGCTACACAAACCTTCTGAAATTAATTTGGGACATTATTTGAAGATAAAATATGCAGGCTTGCAAAGAGATCAATAAATACTCACAGCCAATAGGCTGACTGCAATGAAAAATCTCCTGTTATGACCTGGAGATACTACTAAACTATTTTGCAGAGACTCTCAATCTTTATTTTTCAATATACTTTTAATTCCCATATATCTGGTATAATTTTGTTTCCAACTTCAGTGCAGCAGAGATCAATTCATTATCACTATGTCATAAAGGCTACAGAATCCACTATTAAAATAGATACAAATATTAAATCCACTATTAAAATAGATCACAATGTGATTTTAAAGAGAATCACAAAAGTATATAAAAAAAGGCATCCTCTTGTTCAAGTCTAAGTTACAAAAAACATAATGCCATCGGTCATTTATTTCTCAAGAGATGAAGTGCATACTACTATGACTCCATTTCAGCTGAATGCAAGCTAAGTTTCATAGTCAATTAAAGTTTTATGCAGATGAAACAGAAGCTAGCAATTCAGGCAAGTCATGAGAAAAAAAGGCCTCCCCAAAAATAATGTTTTGAATGTCCCTTTTTGGTACACCAAGTCATTCAACACACTGCCAGTTCTGTCAGAAAGCTTTAAATCCTATAACTAGAACCTAAGTAACTGGATCAACACCTTGTAAAGCTATGCCAAAATGAAACAGGAAACACTGATTGAAAGGTATACTTTTTCTTTTCCCACATTGGGGCTCTAATTTACTTTAGGACAATAAGATTTTTACTTACTATCAGAAGGATTAAAAAGGCCAAAGCAAAAACTTCATAACCTACAAGCTGTTATTACTGTTTACATCAATCTTTGTAACAGGCTTGTAATTGGTACTTGACAGTATATGTTACACCATCACTTTTGCCAGGATAAAAAAAAGAAAGTGGCAAGCACAATAGCAGTTACTAGCAGCTGAACAGCATTTGCACACTGTCTTGGGAGGGATGCAGGATAAAAAAAATAAATCAAAGGCTTCCCATTACATCAGGAGACATATAATTACAAACAGGAAGTACCACACTGCACTAAAAGTAGGATGAGACAAAATAGCAGAAGCTTTCTTTACCAGTTCACTGTAAGAGCAAAGGATTTCTCAGAGGTGGACAGACAATGCATGCTGAACCAGAGGCAAGCCAGCAGACATACAGTTATCACTAAATTCTTACAGAAATTATAATTTCGGGCACACAAGTGCAATAAGTGAAAGCCTGTCAGCAAAAGTCACTTTGACAGACCACCTCAAACAACTTCAGTTTCCCCTAAATTAACAACTGAAATAATTTCACGTCACTAATGTTTAATGCATGCACAGAAATTCTACATGTGTCCTTACATACCTGATAGACCCTATACGGCCTTCCTTTCTGTAATGGAGTAATAGCTGTTGGGTAAGAGCCACTACAAGCAGGTGAAAGATCCATTATATCTAAGGAAGCCATGCTACATGGCTCAGATACATTGGATATATTAATTGGACTATTATAACTTCGAAAAACAACAGCATTTTTTTTTAAGAGATTCAGTGCTTCCATTGTCTTTTCTGAAGGAGAAGCTAGTGTGTCAAGGTAAGTTTCTTTCATGTGTTTTTGGTCATTATCCTTTTCATGATGCAATGGCTTGCAGTCCTGGACAGTATGCACTTCCTCTGCACTTTGTGAGGCATCTTGGGACTCTGGCGATGTTACTAGCATGCCTTCTGGTTTTGGTTCCTCAAAGGAGAGGTCTTTAACACTTTTGTCCAAATCTAAAAGCTGCTTTTCCAAATGACTTTCTGTAACAGACATTTCAGGAAATGATACATCAGAATCTACACTGAGGATTCCTAAAGGTTTTTCATCGTTAGTGCCTAAAAAACTTGAGTTCATGTACTCCTTTTTATCATCCTTTTCGTAGTCTCCATCCAGATCACACATAAGATTTTTGGCTATAATTGGAGTAAGTGATTTTTCTACTGTTTGCTGGTTACCAATAAAATTCTTAAGTTCTTCGGTGCTTCTGCAGGTGTCACGTAGGCATCCATCATCATAAAGCATTAAGGACTGAATTTCTGTTGTCAAACCTGTCCTTTCGTTTGCTGGAAATTCTGAGATCTGACAGCCACGTTTATATTCTGCGTTGCTTTTTTTAACATAGTTAAATTCTTGACAAGGACTAGTGTCAACTAACTCAAAGCTTCTTTTTACACCTGGCTTTTCAAAAATTTCTTCCTCTTTGATAGGCTTGACAGGCTCACTCTGCCTTGAAGGTGACTGTTGTTGATTGGAAGTTTCTGCTGGTTTATTAGTCATATCTCTCTTATTTACAAAGAGTTTTTCTTCCCAAATTTTATTTTCAGAAAGACATTTTCTGACTATGCCTTTCATATCCAGTGTGGTCACAGGAGTATCTGTTATATCAGAATGTTCACTTCCCAGCTTCTGCCTATTGCCAGAATCATTGCTGCTGATGGGAGAAATGGCAGACTCCAGTTCTTTTTTCTTTAAAGCTTTACTGCCTTTGCCATTCAGTAATTCTACATTCGAAAGGAGAGCTGACCCACTGTTACTTGTCCTGCCTGTTGTAGAACATAGTTCATCTTCACTTTGCTGCAAATGAGCACATTAAGTTTTGAGTATCAAGAAAAATAGGATTACAGCATTATAGAAATGTGTCCTTTAAAATACCTTATTTCCACTTCCATAAAGAACTGCAAATTGGCATTACTTATTCTTTATAACCACTAGTAGTGACAAACATGACCTAACACATTCAAAAAAATTCAAAACTAAATTAGGGATAATTTGATAATTTGACTTTTTAAGAACATAAAATAAGCTTGCTAGAATACAATAGTAAATGCAGTATTTTTAAATGCCTGAGGATGAAGAAATACAGCAGTTAAAGCTATATTTGTGATTCTACGTTAAGAAGTTAATCTACAGAAGTTCTTTGGTTTGGGGTTTCTTGGAAACTGAGAACTCCATCATACTACACTGTGGCATATTATGCTTCAGAGATGACAAAAAGAAAGTCTGATACTACTACTATTTTGGTATCACAATACTAAAAACAAGGCCTTGGGAAATTGACAGTTAAAACAAAGAATTATAAACTGTTTTAAACATAAGTTTGTGTGTAATCTAAATAGGAATCATGGCACAGCGGCATTTTCTTTTAGGTCTGTATTTGTGCAGAATTTCATTAACAGTTTAAAATAGGAGAAAGTATTTTGTAACAGATATAATTACTGGTGTTATGTTAGTTGATACAAAACCCTTCAGTAATTTAAACCTTAAACTTTTTTTCAGTTTTTAATAGCTAGTAGAAGTTTGAAGTGTATTTTGTTTATTATTTTTCCCAAGTTCTGCCTTTTAAAGAAATTCTTTTGCCTGCATGCTGAGCTAATAAAGCTATAGGGATAAGGTCAGCTTCCAGACAGACAGTGCTCCCAGCATTGCCCACCTTGTGAAGAATAGGGCTAAACCAGTGCTGCCCAGTAGAAGCCTTCTCTTCCACTCCTTTGCTGCAGGCTAAATGGCCTTTGCTTTGCCTGTTATGTTGCACAGGACTACTATTCATTTGAAGAAAAAAATAATACTAGTTTGATCCAAAGCTCCTACTCAGCAAGGATTACAACCCCTGCTCCTTCTCCTGTAGGAAGGCTTCTCTACGCTCGAAATAACTGGGGGAAGTAAGTAGAAGAGATCTGCAACAGTGCATATACAAGTACAAGCTAATTTTCATTTATAGTGGGAAGATGAAACAGTCCTGACCTCTACATCTTTCTCCCACCTGGAGCTGCTGCAGCATTCCAATTCCATACTGGACAGGTACATGTGTGATTGACTACTGGTACTAGAGGTACCAAACCTTTTTCTTGACTGAAGTAGCGTAGGAGTTAAACTTCTTACTGGCATCACAGGAGTTAATTGAGAAGTATCAAGACCTTGAGAGGGAAAAAAATTCAAATGTTGATATAAACAGGCAACATGTATTAGCCAGCTTCTCACTACGTCAAGCTTTCACATCGAAGGAAGTTATGGAAAGCTATGCATGACATCAGAATTTCTCATCATCTTTCCTGCATAGTCAATTCACTCATTTTTTGAATTAGGCACCTGCCAAGAATTTAAAAGCAAGATGAACATTAACACCATAATAGCCCTCTTTCTCATTTCAGGTTAGAAGTGAAAAAGCAGCAAGATAAGACAATTTAAATGAAAGCACATATTGCTATATTAAATCATTTTTAATGAAAGTATGCCAAGAACTGACACTATTTCTGTAAAGTCTTAAAGGGTCATTTTGAATTCAGTGGTTATGCATTAGGAAAAAAAAAAATCAGAAGATTACGTAACTAGTGTAGGTGAAAACCTGTCAGACCTTAAGCACTAAAGGAATAATAGACAGCAAGACACTGATAGAAGCACACCTTTTATCAAGTGGGTCCAAGCTACTCATAAAATTAAAAGACCACAACCTTACAGCCAGACTATTACACAGTACAAGGCTTGATATACTCACATGTTTTGAATAATTTAGTTGAAAGAGGGGTATTTTCCTTTTGGACCATAGGTAAGGGAGAAACCACTCCATGCAGACTGTCAGATGACTGACTTGAATTGTGCCCTGGCATTTTCATTCCAACAGGAGTATACTATCAGGCAGGAAGAAGCATAGTTAAAAGTTAATGGAACCTGATCAAGACATCCAGGATTGAGAGTGTAACTTCACAAATTCTTTATTACGTTTGCATTGGAGCTTAGCCATGCCCATTTATGAAATTTTTTTGAAGCACAACTGATAGTCAGCAATTTGGAACATAGTCCAAGATAATCACTTCAGAACTTCAAGGTACTGGAAACACACAAGTCGTCATTCTACCAGCTGGCAGAAGAGGTGCAAGAATAGCCTTATCACTCTTATTATTACATTTAAGATAGTAAGTAAACTAAAATAATGAAGTACTTGCAAGACAGCAAAAATTACTTACAAAACCCAGAGAACTGATGAGAGACAACAATTGTCCTGGAGTACGTGAGTAGTCTTGTTTTGGCTTTGCCATTGATGGTGTAGTAAGGATATCTATCATATTTATCTCTACAAACAGACAAAAAAAATATGAAGCAGGTCAGGTTTTCCTTTTGGTATTAAATAAGCAAAGTTACAGGCATTTATTTAAGTTTTATCATGAGGGGAAAAAAATTAGTCACGTACTTAAATATACAAAAGAAGCCACCAAATTCAAGAGAAGACATACCCATACATTATTATTCAACCCAAGCTGTTTCTTCCTGTACACCCATCATAAAGTTACAGTTTATAAATACAGAAACTGTAAAAGTCCAATTTCTTTTCCAACATACTATGTTGTAAGTGTTACGTTTTCTAACTTGATACCAGCTTTGTTTTTTAGGTAGCAATTCCAGCCTAGGGGCTAAGATGGTAAATTTGATTCAAAGCCTGCCTTCTCACTCAAAGACATCTCAAAAAAGCTGGACAAATTTTTCATAGGTGGAAATTTAACTTTAGATGCCGTTTTTTGCTCACTAGAGGTAAGTAGGCTTATAGCTTACATAGCATGTTCAACTAGATCAATAATCTGTCCCATTAGAACTTATCAATTAAAGCAGTATATTCTAGAAAATACAGTATGCTTAGGATTTTCCTCTATCCTCTTAAAACCATGAATCAGAAACTCCACAGACAACTCTGAATTTCTACATTCCTTTAACTATATAGAAAGGATGTACCCACTAGCAACTGTCTCAAAAAACTGAACTGGTGCTATGCAGCATTAGTTTGGTTGATATGGCTAAGGGTTTGGAGGTGCAAACTAGTTTAGGAACTGGCTATTCACGTTAAGCCCTGCAGCCTATTGCCTGTGCCAGTCATTTGACTACTCAGCTATATTTTCTGCTACTTGAAACCAGTATGTTCATATTAAAGCACTGACTTATAATCTTCTGTTACAGACTTACCACCTCCCCCTGTCCCTCACATTAATGTCTGGAAGGTCCCAGTTCAGATTGGAAATGAAAACATACAAGGACAGAGAAATTTGACTGAAGGACAGAAATAGCCAGAGAAACACCAAGAAAAAGCCAGAATTATTCATTCACCCTTTGAATTCTCTTAGTGGACTTCATAGAAAACTTTGAAATCCATACCGCTTAAGAGAAATGGCTCTAGATCATATTTCATACACTCTTGTCCCAGAGAATAAGTATTTTAGCTTCTGAAGTGCAATGCATAGAGCAGACCCTTTACTAGCATGTACCTTATCAGTAATTACCTATGAGAAATCAGATATTAATGCAACATTTGGGCTTATTTAATTGAAAGCTGCCCTCTATGGGGATGTAAAGCATTCAAGAATATAAGAACATGACACAAAAATACATTCTAACGCAACCAAAAGGATACAAACAACTCTTACCTCTGTTCAGAGTAACTCTGGAAAGCCCAAAGTCTGTCAACTTTATATGGCCCTGATTAGAAATGAGCATGTTGTCCGGCTTCAGATCCCTGAAGAAATGAATATAGTTGAAGTCAGCAAAAAGACAACTGAGCAATATTAAGTTAACTGACCAGAAACACTGAGTACAAAACATTGATTATAGCTGTTTCTCAATAACATCTCTTAGCCAGCAGAAATTCCAATTGGAGGAATACACCAAAATAATTAGACATATCTAGCACTAAATATTGTACAATATAATCAGTATTGTACAATATCAGTACAGGTTGGGGGATGAAGAGATTGGGAGCAGCCCTGCAGAGAAGGACTTGGGGGTACTGGTAGATGAAAAGCTGGACATGAGCCAGCAATGTGCACTTGCAGCCCAGAAAGCCAACCGTATCCTGGGCTGCATCAAAAGAAGCATGGCCAGCAGGTCGAGGGAGGTGATTCTGCCCCTCTACTCTGCTCTGGTGAGACCTCACCTGGAGTCCTGCGTCCAGCTCTGGGGCCCTCAGCACAAGAAGGACATGGACCTGTTGGAGCGGGTCCAAAGGAGGGCCACAAAAATGGTCCGAGGGCTGGAGCACCTCTCCTATGAGGCCAGGCTGAGAGAGCTGGGGTTGTTCAGCCTGCAGAAGAGAAGGCTGCGAGCAGACCTTATTGCGACCTTCCAATACTTAAAGGGGGCCTACAGGAAGGATGGGGGGGAATCTTTTTAACAAGGCCTGTTGTGACAGGACAAGGAATAATGATTTAAACTAAAGAAGAATAGATTTAGACTAGACACAAGAAACAAATTTTTTACAATGAGGGTGGTCAAGCACTGGCACAGGTTGCCCAGAGAGGTGGTGGAGGCCCCATCCCTGGCAACATTCAAGGCCAGGTTGGATGGGGCTCTGAGCAACCTGATCTAGTTAAAGCTGTCCCTGCTCACTGCAGGGGGGTTGGTCTAGATGAACTCTAAAGGTCCCTTCCAACCCAAAGCATTCTATGATTCTATGATTCTACAAATGTCTCGGGCCTTGTGACATGCATGGTGGTTTTACAAGAGTTGCACATTTCGTGTTTCAGCAGGTTAACAAGTGTTCTTCACTAGTACTACCATCACAACATTTACTTATGTGTAGCTCCTACACATGACAGTACACATGACAAGCAAACCTCTAGTAAAAGTTTTCATGTGTGTTCTCTGTAGCACTACCACATGCAGCAAAGAATTCTCACTACAGGAGGAGCATTAGAGTAGCCAACGTCCCTTTGTCCTACAGATACATGCTTGCAGTATCCAGAGAGTTCCTGAACTAACAGTCATTTAAAAGCCACAGAGAAAAGGGACCTAGAATGCAACATAGCTGCTAATACACCACTGTACTGGGGGAAGAGCATGCAGGCAGAGGAAAGCAGTATATATATTTGCTTAACATATCTGGACAGGTTTTATTTTAGGTGTTGTTTCATGACATTGCTGCAGTGTACACATGCAAAAAGAGGTTCCAGAAGCTCCAGCAAATGAGGTAGCTGTTGTTATGAAATGGTGATTGGTTATGTGTTTAAGTGAAAAAAATCAAAAACCCAAACTAAGAAATACTTATTTGTAAGGGGAAAAAAAAAAAAAAAAAGTAGGTTTTACCTGTGAATTATCCCATGCCTGTGAAGATAGTCAAGAGCCAATGCTGCTTCAGAAATATACTTAACAGCCATTTCTTCATCAAAATATCCATAAATATGGAGAAGAGATTTGACATCTCCACCAATAAGGTACTCCATCACCTGCCATTCAAGTGTTTTAAGTTTAACATTTCAAACACTTTTCAAATTTGCAAGTAAAATATAAAATAGTTTTCACCCCTAGGAAAATATAATTTCAAACAGCAGAAACTGATAGAAGCTTCCTTGTGCAAACTTAATTTCCCACACAATACTTTTCACATGGATAAAATAATTAAAGCTTCTGATGACAGAGAACATGAAACATTTTCTTTTTAATAGAACATTTACTTATTTTCTATTCTTTGCCTAGCCTACTTTCTGTAGTCAGCTCTCAAACTACTGTAGTCAGCTTTTAATTAGCTTCTGAAAGATTTCTATATTATAGAAAATAAATTGCAAAGGACTTCTGTGAAACTCAAGGCCTGAAGCCAAAGACCACTGATATTTTGATTTCTACAGAAGAGGTATCACAATTATTTTATTTTGCAAGTGATTACAGACAATACTAAATTCAGACCCAGGCCTTGTGAAATAAGTGCAAATTTCCAGAAATGTATACAGTGAGAGCAACTGTACATTTAAGACATGAGAGTGTTTAAAAAAAATACACACATCAAAAAAGTTATGTAAACACACACATTATTATGGCCCATGTCCTATTCAAGATAGAAGAAGTCAGCAGAGTTTCAGAAACTCACTCTTCAAGGACAAGAATAGGGTTTTGATCAAGAAATCTCACCAGAACTTGTATTCCAATATACAACACTATTTTATATATACATATATA